AGTTACAGGTATATGGGAGCAAGTGCTTCTGAGCAAAAAGATGCCCTTTACTCATCCTAAAAGGTTTCAAAAAGTCCCTGGGACCTCCAGTAGCAAAATTGTAATGAAAAAATTTAACCCTATTAACTCTTTCAATCTCTCTATTCATCCATTCATTCTTCTGGAGCCCTTTATATCTGCCGAGGAGTCCTTGTGCCACTGTGGGTTAAAGCACTGGGCTACTAACCATGAGGTTTTTGATTCAATCCAATCAGCCACTCCATAAGAGAAAAATGAGGCTGTCTTATCCCTTCAAGATTTACAACAACTACAGCAACAAAAAGATCTACAGAATTAGAAATCCTATACAGGGTCACTATGAGTCAGAATTGACTCAAAGGCAGTGTTGTGGGTTTTTTTGGGGGGGTTGGGACAGGGGGTTTGCTCAGAATTGACTTGATGGCAGTGGACTTTTTTGTTTGATTGTGTTACTAAGTGCCACACACTAGCCTAGAGCTGGGAATCTAAGAATGTACTTTCGTAGAGTTTATATTTTAGACATGGGCAGGATTCGGGGGTTGAGGAAAAGATTGTAGAACTACATTTCTTATCTCTGTCATTTCATGATACTCAATTACTAATAAAAATATAAGCCCTTCTGGTCATTTATACTTTCCCACATTCTTGTCATAATTACTTTATGCCTTTTTCCCTTAACCTAGTACTTTGTCTAAAGAAGTATTGAGACTCTGACTTTTCCTTTACAGTAGGGAATTTCAACAATTACTGTTTCTGGCTATGAGCTAAATCCAAAATCAGAGTTAATTCTGAACCCCTGGCTAATGCATCCTAATAAGCTGGTTATGTAAATGTAACCTGTAAGAACAACTTCAAGGAGATGCCACAGTAAATCCCTTTGTCAATGAGTGAGGGGTTTCTTTTCTCTTCGAGTAAAGGATGCAAGGCTTAAGATGTAAGGAAAAGAATTGACTTCCTAAGACATTCATTTATCAAATGTTTAAGAATTACTCAATGAGATTCTACATTATAACTGGCACAGTGTAAGGATAGATAGAGAAGAAAGTCTAAGATAAGACTCCACTTCCCTCCATTGAGGCTAGACAGAAGCATATTGCTAAGTTAATTAACACTACAAGGAAACAAAGCGCTTCCACCTCATCCACTCCATCCTCACTCTCCTAGTCTAGCCATTTTGGTTTCTGGTGTCTCCCCAAAGAGGTTATAATCAACAATGCGCTGTCTGCACCTTCAGTTCCTTTGTCCTTGACAGTCTCTCCTTCACTCGATTATTTTTGTTTTTGTTTTTTTAATCATTTTATTGGGGGCTCTTACAACTCTTATCACAATCCATCCATTGTGTCAAGCACATTTGTACCTTTGTTGCCCTCATCATTCTCAAAACATTTGCTTTCTACTTGAGTCCTTGGTATCAGCTCATTTTCCCC